ATTATCCTAAACTCATTAAAATAAAAGTTTTTCGTTTTCATAGAGACATACTTCCATGTGGAGCCAATGACGTCCAATCACTTCTTGAAAATTACGATGATTTTTATAGAACACTTATTCGATGGAACCAGTATCGTCGAACAAAACAAATAAATAATAAATAAGTGAATTAGTGATTCTAATATAATATATGAAAATATAAAACTAATTGCACATGTAAAACATATTACTTATCAATTATTTACGATCCGAATGATCCATTCAAAATCGGATCTAATCGAGCTTCTTGGAGTGGAGGAAATCGTCATGAGGACCTCCATAGTCAAGGGCACTACTAGTGAGGGCATTCGCTGGCGGGAATGCCAACGTGTCGGTGCCACTATCAAGTCCACAACCCCAAACACTTGCACCTGGCGAGTGCCATTATCAATAGCACGATCACGGACACTACCGGTATCATGCAACAACCATGGATATTGTCACCATTAGAGCCACGATCACTAGCATTGCGATTAGATCTCTCAATCCACTAAACATAACTCTAGAATAATACTTGAAACGAGTTTAACAAATGCAATAAATTAATAGCAATTCGACCGAAAATATATTATAAATTATTTTCATAAAAAAATAAAAATTCAGCATAGTTTCGCTCGTAAATTAGATATTCTCTTATTACCGAAAATTCCATTTGCATAAAATTCAACACATCCAAAATGCATAACAAGCATCTAAAGAAAGCATAATAGACAAAATAATATAATTGAATAAATACAACAAACACGAGTTGATCTTCAATTCAAACCTAATTAAATTTAAAATAACAAATAATTAATAATTTTGAATATAAATAAAATTAAAAATCAACCAATTAATCAAAATTAACCTAATTAATTGGTTAAACCTAAATCAAATTAACCTAATTAGTTCTAATTCAAACCTAATTAAATTTAAACCTAAATCAAATTAACCCTAATTCAAAACTAATTAATTCTAACTAACAATGAATTAACAATTTCCAATATAAATAAAATTAAAAATCAACCATTTAGTCAAAATTAACCAAATTAATTAATTAAACCTAAATCAAATTAACTTAATTAAATCTAATTCAAACCCAATCACCATAATTCAAACCTAATTAAATTTAACTAACAATTAATTAACAATTTCCAATATAAATGAAATTAAAAATCTACCAATTAATCAAAATTAACCTAACTAATTAATTAAAACTAAATCAAATTAACATAATTAATTGTAATTCAAACCTAATTAAATTTAACTAACAATTAATTAATAATTTCCAATATAAATAAAATTAAAAATCAACCAATTAACCAAAATTAACCTAATTAATTAATTAAACCTAAATCAAATTAACCTAATTAATTCAAATTCAAACCTAGATCAAATTAACCCTAATTCAAACCTAATTAAATTTAACTAACAATTAATTAACAATTTCCAATATAAATAAAATTAAAAATCAACCAATTAATCAAAATTAACCAAATTAATTCTAATTTAAACTTAATTAAATTTAAACCTAAATCAAATTAACTTAATTAAATCTAATTCAAACCTAATTGAATTTAAAATAACAAATAATTTTCAATAGAAATAAAATTAAAAATCACCCAATTAATCAAAATTAACCTAATTAATTAATTAAACCTAAATCAAATTAATCTAATTGATTCTAATTCAAACCTAATTAGATTTAAACTTAAATAAAATTAATCCTTAGTGAAACCTAATTAAATTTAACTAACAATTAATTAACAATTTCCAATATGAATAAATTTAAAAATCAACCAACTAATCAAAATTAACGTATTTAATTAATTAAACCTAAATCAAATTAGCCTAATTAATTCTAATTAAAACCTAATTAAATTTAAACCTAAATCAAATTAACTTAATTAAATCTAATTCAAACCTAACTAAATTTAAAATAACAAATAATTAACAATTTCTAATATAAATAAAATTAAAGATCAACCAAGGAATCAAAATTAACCTAATTAATTAAACCTAAATCAAATTAACGTAATTAATTCTAATTTAGACCTTATTAAATTTAAACCTAAATCAAATTAATCCTAATTCAAACCTAATTAAATTTAATTCAAAATTAATTAACAATTTTCAATATAAATAAAATTAAAAGTCAACCAATTAAACAAAATTAACCTAATTAATTAATTAAAACTAAATCAAATTAACCTAGTTAATTCTAATTGAAGCCTAATTAAATTTAAATCTAAATCTAAATTAATCCTAGTTAAAACCTAATTAAATTTTACTAACAATTATTAAAAAATTAACCTAACGATTAACAAAAAAAAACAATTTAACAAATTAATCAATAAATTAATAATTAAAATTATAGAAAATTATAAATCAATCAATCAATTTAAAATTAACCTTACAATTATGAAAACTAACTAACTTTTAAGAAATGAGAGAGAGAGAGAGAGAGTTGACCTAATTCGAACAAGAAGGATACTAAGATGAAGGAAGGAAATATTGACGATTTTAAGGAGAAAAGAGCTCGGAGTGAGTGTGTATTGATGGAGAGTGGAAGAGTGCGGTTTTGTGGTGGTTTTGGATGGGGGAAAGACCGACGACTGGAGGAGAAGGAAGGGAAGAAAAAATGGAGAAAGAAGAAAAGAAAGGAAACTTAATTAGGGATTCGGATTAATGACGGACGTGATGCCGTCATTGATTAGTCACTAAATCGTTAAATGGATGGTTTTTTAATTCCAAAAGATTGTCTATTTTTTAAAATTAGCGAGGGATATCATTCTTTAGCGATGAATCTTTTGTCGCTAAAGCAAAACATTGAAAATAACGATGTAAATAATAACTCGAAGTTGATTTTCGTAGCATTTCCATCGGTAACCTTTCGTTAAAACACACGAGAAGATTTCGGTGCCCCAAATAGCAATAAACTTTTATCCGTCGCTGATAAACCGTACTTATTTCGCCTCTAAATTCTATAGATGTTGTTCGATCGATATTTACTCATTATTTAGCAATAGATTATAAGTCGTCGCTAAATCTGGGTTTTGTTTTAGTGTTTGTTCATAATAATTTTGTGGTTTGTAAGATTATTTAGTGCGAGTGAATTGAACAAGTCCTTCAATTTTTTTGCTTTACTTCTATACGTTATATATACACAAAAATGATAAAATCAGTGTGGGCAATAATTAGTAATAAAACAATCATATTATATGAAATATTTTTTTTATGATAATATATAAAACAAAATTTTTTTGTTTAAACCACTATATTTAATCAAATCCAATTGACTTTTACATTATCCATTAGTTGTTTGAAAAAAAATATCCGAGAGACTAATTTGTATTTACTTATGATGATAAAAAAAAAATGTTATTAATTATTATGTAATATTGGCATGTTTTGTTTACACTTTTTAATTTTTTTTTCGGGAATTGTATTTGTATAATCTTTTACGGAATGAACTTTAATTAGAAATGTTTAAAAAATATATTATTTAAATTTTTGATCACAAATATTTTAAAGAATAAGTAATCTTTTTGAAACATAGGGAGTTAAGTAAAAAATATGGATGGATTGATGAGAAAAATTATATTTTTTAAAATAAAATAATCTCAATACCAATCAAAATATTAATAATTAGTTTTTAAAATAAAAGTTGCTACTCAATTCTTTTTTTTTTAATAGAGGGACTAATTTACTCGTTGAAACTAGGAATGGCAATGGAGCAGGGGATGGCCGAGGCCATTCCCAACCCCGCTTCGCACTTGAAAATTTTATCTCATTTTTTGTCCCGTGCTCCTCACAGGACAATATTTCTCTTATTATCCCCACCTCAAACAAGGACGAGAATCACCACGGGGTACCGATGTCTCATTTAATTTTTTGTTTTTATCCTATCCCGTCCCATTCTACTACTAAATTTTAAACTATAGCAAAAAAAAAAATGATAGTTTATATAGAAAATAAACTCTAAAAGTCAACAATTATATATTTTATATGATATAATTAGGTGTTGTTTGGTAATCGGGAATAAAGCGATGGAAATGAGAATGAAAGTTTTATTCTCACATTATAATTTGTTTGGTTAAAAAGAATAAAGCGAGAATAGGAATGAAGAGTGGAAATGAAAATGAAAATTTACACACAACTTCATTCCCACATAAGATATGAGAATAAAAATAAGAAATGTGAATGAATTTTTTTTTCAAAATAATAATATATTTTATTTATTTATTGTACTATTAACTACTTTTATCACCACCACCATCATCGCTATCACTACTAGAACCACCACTTGTCATAACCATTATCGTTATTTTTATTATTTTTACAATTATTGTAGTTTGATAAAATTATTTTTTAATCATTATTTTTATTTATATAAAAAATTAAATATACAAAATTTTAAATTACATTCCGATTACTCATTTGTATTCCAAACACGAGTATAAGAATATAAATATCATTTCGATTCTTTAATTTTTATTTTAATTTCTATATTTTTATTTCTATCATTTTATTTCTTATTATCAAATAACATTTTATAATTTTAAGAATAAAACAAAACAAACAAAACGAAACGAAACAAATAAATATCATTTTTATCTCATCTTCGTTTAAAATAAATATAGAACGGAGCGGGACGAGTCTCCATCAGGAAGAGGCAAATTGCCATCCGTAGTTGAAACCGCAACTCGCTCGTCAATTGTATTTTTTAGGAAATCATTTTTTGTTAATAAAATAGACCACTAAAAACAAAACAAACCGGCACTTGCGACCTTTCTATTAATCTTCTGACATCGCCAATTCTCAAGTTCCAAAGCTCACCATGCCAGATTCTCCGTTCTCCAAAATTCTTCACTTCAAATCTTTCTATCAATCTCCACCTCTCAAACATTGACAAGAAAGTGGAAACCCACCAAAGCCATACCCAACGTATTTATATTACAATTCCCTAATAGTTTGTCCGAATGGAAACATCAACGAAAAATCCTTTGATAATAACAGACAAAGAGCAGATGAGGAAATGGTCGAGAACCATGAGATCGCAAGGCAAGACTATTGGCCTTGTACCTACAATGGGTTACCTTCATCAAGGCCATTTATCACTCGTCAAAGAAGCCCTAAAGCACACGAATGTCACTGTTGTCTCAATCTATGTGAATCCAGGTCAGTTCGCTCTTTCTGAGGATCTTTCCACATACCCATCTGACTTTCATGGCGATATTATCAAGCTCATGTCTGTTCCTGGTGGTGTTGATGTTGTTTTCCACCCCTATAATCTTTATGACTACGAAAAGGACATGAAAAATAAGAATAGTAATGTTACTAGTGATGTTTGCAAGAATTTAGAGGGTAAAGGGGAGGTGGCGTCATGTTTGGAGGAGAGAGGGATGGGACATGAGACATGGGTGAGAGTGGATAAATTGGAGAAGGGTCTGTGTGGGGAGAGTAGGCCTGTGTTCTTTAGAGGGGTTGCTACTGTTGTTACTAAATTGTTTAATATTGTGGAGCCTGATGTTGCTGTTTTTGGGAAGAAGGATTACCAGCAGTGGAGAATTATTCGAAGAATGGTAAGATTTGTTTGTCTTTTTTTTTTAAAAAAAAAGAATGAAAATTGAATGTTTCATGTTTTTGAGAAAAGAAGTAACCTTTGCCGAATGAATACTTTGAAAATCGATTGAAGCATGAATCAGGTATTCAAAATTCAACTTATATTTAATTATATTAATTTGCAAGAGAAATTTACTTATTGCTGACAAAGATTGTGAAATTTTGTCTTCTGTACTTCTGCGTTCCTGATAAATTATGTGTTGTTTCAGTGCTCACCTTAAAATGCTTCCGAAACACTTGGTTTGGTTTCTTAATTTGGCGAGTTAACGCATTCATCTTGTTTTTTGGTGACACTTTCATTAAATAGTTTTTTCTGTGGTTGACTTCCTGCAGGTTCGAGATCTTGATTTTTCCATTAGAATAATCGGTGCCGAAATAATGCGTGATAATGATGGCCTTGCAATGAGTTCTCGCAATGTACACCTCTCTGCAAAAGAGAAGGAAAAGGTTGTTCCTGTGATCCTTGGAACTCTAAATTTTCAATTTCGATAGAAGTAGAATAGAAATTGCATACAGTTAGACTTTCAGCATCAGGAAACTTAAATTACTCTGCCCCTTGGATTGTTGAGAAAAGAATTGTCAGCATCAAGATATCTCTGTCACATAATTAAAAGTTCTTTCACTTGCTTTTGATTGTAATGATTATCCTTCACAAATAGATTTGCTGTCTGGAGGAAACTCTCACTGGCCTTTTGTTGCTTTGTAAGTAGATTAAAAACAAAAATCAGCATCAGATATTCTACTTGTACTTTTAAGTGCACATGTTTAACTGTTGCATATGTATGTTAGCTGAAATGGTTTGATCACATTTATTGTGCATAATCTTATTGGAGACCTTTTGTTTCACACAAATTGCATGGCTCCTTCGCCATTTATCTTATGCTTTTCTGCTTCGTACAGGCTTTGTCTGTAAGCCGGTCATTGCTGGGTGCTAAATCATCAGCAGCGAATGGCCACATAAATTGTAGAGAATTAAGAGACTGTGTTATCCAAGCAATAAGTGAAGCTGGAGGAAGAATTGATTATGCTGAGGTGAGGGATGCAGTATTTTTGTTCCCTAACTTTTGTATCTGGAACTTTATTCTGATGTGTCTGACTATCGAACAATTTTATATTCTCTTAAATACAATATTGAGTATTTGTCTGGGAGGATGACACTTCTTCAGTTCTACTCTATGAAACTGATCGTAATATGGTAACCTGACTTGTCTGTTTAAATACAAAGTGGGAAGCCACTTGGACTTCGAGGTGGAATTTCTGTTCAGCAAGCATCTCGTTTTACAACTGTTCCTCTATATCATTCAATTTGCAAATTGTAATTCTCTACTTGTTAGATTCTCCTGCTCATGCTTTCAAAATTCATTGCCAACTTTTAAAGAAGTTGGCCAAATGAGGGCAATTTGTCAATGGGATTGGGAGTCTAATTGCCTCATATAATGGTCAGCATCTAATAGTGACTTCTTAAATATGATCGTTGGACACCCTTGTAACTCTTGAAATGCTTTTGGTGTCTACTTGGAAACATAAAATGTGCTTTAAATTGGAATTAATAGGAGTTCAGAAAGTTCAAGAACCCGATAAACACAAAGAGGGCGTTGAATTGGACAAAAATAACAAATGTGAATCAGATTTTGTTAGTAATGATCAAGAAGGAGATTGGAATTTACATAGTTGAATGCTTCTGAATCCTTTGTCTTTTGATGGTCTTTGACGAGAGGGATTGTTACCTGATAATCTAGGATTAGATAAGCCTTTTTTCTGAGTGATCTGATTGAAATTATAGAATTGTTGTTGGTGTAGATTTTGAAAAACATAAAATAAAAAAATAAGAACAAGAAGAAAGAAACTGCTTGAAATTTGTTTGACGAATGTTTGTGGAGAAGCTTCTTTATGCTATCGATGCTAACATTCACAAAGAAAGAAAGCTATTATGCATGGAAAAATATCAGATTGGAATCTGAGTGTTCTTGTATTATTAGTTATATTGTTCAGAATCATTATGTTCTCATTGCATTGCTTCTTTCCATCAGATTGTAGACCAAGAAAGTTTGCAGTTAGTGGAAGAGATCAAGAGTCCTGTTGTGTTCTGTGTCGCTGCCTGGTTTGGGAAGGTCAGGCTGATAGATAACATTGAAATCAATCCATGAGTTCCTATTGCCAACGTAAACTAAAAGTTCGGGAGCAGTGGAAGAGATTAAGAGTACTATTGAATTCTGTGATGCTGCCTGCCTAGTTTGGGAAGGTCAGGCTGATAGATAACATTATAGATCAATCAATCTAGGAAAGCTTTTTATTTTTCTTTTTACTGTGATTGATAACCATTGTTTTTGCAGTTTCGCTGTTGTTTCAGAGGGGCAGAGAATGTTTGTAAACTTTGTGAATCCAGTTGAGATAACATATGTATTTTTAAAGATTTCAGTGTACTTGGGGAAATAATTCCAGCTTCCCCCAAAAATATTTCTTGGGCACATAGGAAATTTCTTGTATCTCTTCTTTTCTGTTCATTTTCTTTTTTCCGCAAAATAAGCTGACATGGATTGCTAGATAGCTTGCTGCAGTTACTTCAAAACATTGTAATTATAGTGTCTTCAAATTTAACGACTAGCTGACGCCCCACCTTACGCCGTGAATGGTGAAATGTTATTTATGAATGAGTTCAGTCAAATGAATGTGAAGCAAGTGTTTAAATGTTACACTACGATTCACAATATCTACGATATTTTATCTTCTTTTTTTTTTATGGAAGCTTTGTTTTTATACATTGATTAAAGAGAAAATATTTTATCCCAGACATTGATGAGTAAATCATTGGTATTCATCTACGGATGTTAGTCCAATAATAGAGGGAATGTTGCAATTTTTTTTTTTTTTAAACACATAGATAAGAAGTGCAAAGTGATGCTTGCATATTACAAATTAATTTCGCATGAAAAAAAAAGGGCAATGAATTATTTAGCAGTATATGTAAACAAATAAAAAACATTAGGAAAAAAATATTTAATCTTGTTGGCTAACCACAAAAGGAAAAACTTAGAGGAAGTATTTAATAAGTAACATAAAAAGTTACAAAAAATTTTAATAATTGAGCAAAAAGCACCCAAAATAACAATTATTTTGAAAAAAAAAAAGAGTATTAACTGAGAAAAAAATTATTCCATCAATTGTGTCATACATCCTAACCATTTTCAGCTTCTTCCTTTAGACGTCACCTTCCGTTATTGTGACACAACCTGTCTTTGTTGGTTTGTACTTTCCAAAAGCCTTTAACTCTTTCATCAACTCTTATGCAATCTTTTGATGCAGAATCAACACCATCAACCAGTATGAATTAAAGATCAAGAATATGATAAAATTCCACCCACAATTGAAAAAATCAAAACAAAATATTAATCAAGATTCGTATAATAGCACTAAATCTAACAAAAATAAATATCAGCATGATACCTATATATTTATCATGAAAAAAATTGAAAACACTAATCACCATTAACATAAAGAGAGCAGCTTTACAGAAGAAAAAAATTAAAAAAATAAAATACATAACTCACCTCTTTTTCAATCCTTTTCTGCTTCTTTTGCTTGTCCTTCAAAGATATTGTTTTGTTTATATGAACCTGGTTTTCAAAGGATGGCAAAAGAAAAAAATAAAGTCACAAAACGAAAAAATATTCAGAATTAAAATCATTTATTGAATGGGATTAACCTTTGCAATTATTAAAATTTATTCATCTTAAATTCATATATTATTCTAATGCCAAATTAGTTGTTGAAAATCTCAAAACCAATTCAAAAGAAGGTTGCACAGTGCAAGCCATATCTGTTTTTTCCAACATAAATATGTGATAAGAAGAAATTTGTAAACAAAACAATGCATGTTGATGACTGTAAATCAGTGTAATAAATGGACATAAAGGGGTTGAAGGATCAAAGAGTAATGATAAAAATATTCAATAAGTTTTTCAGTTGATCCTTCTTCTCATTTGGAACACTACCAAAGTAACCAATTTTAGTCAAATTTAGGGCTGCAATTATTGTCTATATTATTCTGTAAATATACAAAAAAAAAAAAAAAAAAAAAGAATTTTTTAAAAAAGGCAAACATGTACGATAAGTACTACAACAAGACAGTATATCAAAACTAAACATACACCAAACAAATCAAGCAACACTTCTTCCCTGTCTTTTTCTATTTGTCATCTATTCATTAAAAAGAGAACAAAAGAACAAAAAAATTAACTCCTTAACAATCTTTAAATATTTAAAAAAGAAAAAAAATTAAAAATTTGTTGGAAAATCTGCGATAGCAAAAAGAACTCATCTCAAAATTAGCATTAGCTATAAATTAATCCACTAATAAGATCAAGTCTAAGAATTGACTTTTCTAAATTTTTCCATTTGACTTGAATTTATGTTCATTTACGTAAATAATAAACTGAAACAATTTAAAATAAATGAAGATCGCAAGAAAACTTGCAGCAACAAACTACATAAACACTGAGCAAATCAACTAACACCAAATATAACATTAAACATCAATCTTGTATTAAAATACTATAAAACTGATTAACTAAAAAGAACCCTGTAATTTACACAGTTGAGAAATCACACACTTCTTCCCCTACACTTTTTTCATGTTATTTTTCTATTTGATGTTTGTTCATGAAAAAGAAAAAAAAATAAAAAAATTAAGTCCAAATTCTTAAATATTAAAACAAAAGAAAACAATTAAAAAATTATTTGAGAACTTGAGACAGCTCAAAAACCCACCTCAAATTAGTATTAGCTATAAATTAAACCATCAAATTAAAATATCACAAAATTGATTAACTAAAAAGAACTTTGAAATTTACAGAATAAAGATTCAGTAATAATAATAATAATCCAATCAAAGAAATCACACATTTCGTCCCTTATACTTTTTTTCATATCTTTTTATATTTGCCATATGTTTATAAAAAAAAAAAAAACAAAGAAATTAACTCAACAAATCCTTAAATATTAAAAAAATAAAAAATTTGTTTGAGAATCTTAGATAGCTAAAAAACCCACCTCAAATTAGTTTTATTTTCTTCTATTTTTTTATGACAGATGATAGAGATATTCTCAAAACAATCTTCCATATTTTTCTCTTTTCTCTTCCAAAGCAAGCTGCAAGATATGGAGAAAAAACAATTTAGAAAAAATATAGTTGTGGATTGTAGAAAGATGAGTTGTAAAAAAAACCTTGAAATCTGAAATTTCTTTTCTTTATTATTATTATTTTGGTGAAAAAAAGAGTAAAATATTGAGGTAGTTGAGAGTGATCTCATCTCTTTTTTTTTTTTGGCGAGAAAAGAGTAGAAGCAGGAGGAAGTAGAGGGAGAAATTTTTTTCATTATATATGATAAATGGAAAAAAATTCATTATATATGATTAATGGAGGGTTGAGGTTTTTAGATTAAAAAAACAAAGGGTTGAGACTGATGAGGAGTGTTAAAATTACCAATAAACTGGTAAATTAAATATTTTTTTAAGAAAAGAGGAAGGGCAAAAGTGATATTACACAAATGCATCCAATCTAGTAAATATTTGAAATAAGCGGTTGAGAAATAAATTAAAGACAATTGTTTTATTAATTATTAATAACAGGAAGAAGATCCAAGGGTTGAGATGAGAAGTGAGCGGCTGGAAGGAGAGATGGATGACAGAAATAAAGACTGGAATCCATGCACAGAAGGACTGAATCACAGTCCACAGTAATTTCATTTTGCATGAATAGTCTAGGAACATGTAGGAATGCCACCATTTGTTTTAGTTTCTTTTGTAACAAGATAATGTTTACAATATAGTAAGTGTATTATTAGTTCTTAATTATTTAAAAATGATTTCTTTGTAACTTAAATAGGTTTTTTTCTTATCTAATGGAACAATAATTTTTTTAATTGAAATTACATTTAATTGTTCGTAACTATTATATTACAAAAAGAGTTTGGCACATGTCATAGTAGCCCTAAATTGGGTTTTAATGAAAATAAAATTTTTCTTATGAATTTTAAATAACTAAACAAATAATAAATCTAAAAATAAGTTAGGAAATTACAATTCAACCCTTACCCACTAAAACTAAAAATCCTCTTCTCTCTCCTATTCATTTTAGTTTTTTCTCTTTCCTCTTTGGATCTGCAATAAAAATGACAATCTCTAATCTCTAATTTCTCTAATTCTCAAATTTCAAACCCTCATATCCAATCTCCAATTTCTCAATTATAAACCGTAATCCATATTTTTCTTTTAACCTTTCCTCTCTCTTTCTCTTTCTATTGCGTTTCCTAATCCCTAATTCCCAAATCACAATTTCAAAAAAGAATGACTTTGTCATCGACATCCTCTTCCTCTTCCAAGTATTTATCGATTTGTACTCTCAATGATAGAGAATTACCATAAGATGAGAAGAACTCGTAATTTCGTTTTTCGTGTTAATGTGGCATGAAAATGAATAAGGCAGCGTCTTGGAGGGATGACCACCCAAGTGTAAAGTTTTATGTTTATACACTTCAATTCAAAGCTAAAGACAAAAAAGATATTGGGTGCAATTTTAAAGTATGGTTCCTGATGAGTTGGATGGCAAAGCTAAATATATTGTTTTGGGTTTGCGAAATTGCCAATAAGAAATTCATGTTGAGAACTCAAGATTGATTGTAGAAAATGTTGGATTGAATGAAGAAATTACTATGTTAAGAAGTGAGAACAAAGAATTGTTGATTGAATTGAAAACTGTGAGAATTGAGAACAATGCTCACAATGAGCAAAAATAGAAGGAGAAAGAGATTCTATTACTGGAGATTAAAGATTTGAAATTGAGTTGTGCTAATTTAGTGTTGTTTAAATCTAGAACTAGTAATGTTCTCAAGTTGTGTTGTACAATGATTGTCATTGTGATTGTACTATTTTGGGTTTGATTATATAGAATGGACAACAATTCTTTGCCTTGTGATAGTATTATGGAACTATAATTTGCAATGTTATGTGCATTTTGTAAGTATTATCAGTGGCTGGGTAATTGAAAAGTGTGCAATTGTTTACATGTGCAGAATAGGGATGTTTTCAAGCTGGTAAAATAGGTATGTTTTCATTCCAAGTTGTTTTAACAAACTTTCAAAACTGAAAATTGGAAAGGAAACCAAGCCCCACGCTTAAGCAACGAAAAGGCAAGGCAGGATACTCCATAATTAATCAGACCAGGCTATGGGTAATGGGGACGTACAGAGCCGATAGAATGTAGAAAACTGCTGCATCGTGTCAAGAGCAGCGCGGAGAGGTGAATTTCGTTTCCAGTTATATATCCAACTTCATGTTCATGAATTTTTCAGAATGCTACCTTTCCATAATTAATCTACTGGGAAATCTTCACTCTTCTCATCATTTAGGGTTTTTTTTTATTAGTAGCTAGTAATGAAAAACTCATCCTTCTATTTATTTTCGTTCGGACAATTATTTATTCCTTTCTGTGTTTGTTACACGTTTTATGGGGGGCAGTGATCAAGGAAGCTTGCTAGCAACTTAAAAAAGGAATATTTTGAACTCTTGGATGCTAGTTCTCTTCAAATAAAATTGCAAGTACAACCCGAGCCAAAAAAAAAAAAAAAAAAACAACCTACCTTTTAGCATTTTCTTTGTCAGGTAACCGAAACCAAGCCTTCTGTCTAAAATATTCATAATTTTGCATAAAATCAGCAACTTCTAAAACCATTTTACATCTTGGGTTTGTGATAGATTTCCTTTAGTTAAGGCACAAAATCTATTAATACCCAACCACCAGTCTTAACCAAAATGCCTGCAGGAGCTAACGCATCAAAAAAAAAAAAAAAAAAAAGGCAGACTCCAACGCCTATACTAATCTTACAATCACAGCTAAATAGTCAACAGTAATCAGCAACTAGCATTCTGCCACAGATTCCAAAGAACCTACAGCTTCCCCCAAAAAAGGTAGGAAAATGGTGAACACTACGATAGGCCTCCTGTTCTTTCCTTGCAAAACATGTGTAATGCTTTTTCTCCACAGTGGAAGAAATTAATAAGCATTTTAAATCAATGCATGCCACATATTTGTTCATCGTCTCAAACAACTTGATGCTCAAATCAAAGGAAAAGCTTATCACTAAACCATTCACATAAGGACAAAATGGTGGAAAACAAAGACTGAAATCAGTACCAAAGTCCATCCATCGTTCTTAAGCTCACAAGACATTTAAACTCTTAGCCCATAAAAAAGCAAAACGACAATTCCTACAAGATATTGAATGAGGCCATGCTGCTACCTGCAAAAAGCCTGAGAAGCTGCAAGAAGATTAAATAACAGACATTAGAACCAATGTAAATGACCATCACTACAAATTACTGAAACTAAAAGCAAGCACTGATTAAGTCAGGGCATGAAGCCAATGGCATGAATCAATATATGAGGGGTTATCTGAGCCTGAATAGCAATGGAATAAAATTAATCCAAAATAAAAGCATAAGCTGAGCTCTATCAGTATCATACAAGACAACAGTTTCTGGAAAAAGGCATCCACCTTTTTTTCAAAAAAAAAAAAAATTGAGATTAAAATGCTACTGGAAAGTGATGACTGAACAGTACAAGATTGATAAGACTCAGGTGACCAACAGAAGGATAGAAAAGAACTAAGACGCTTTGATCATATTATATTAATGTGCATACGAATAAAATGCCTACACTTTCAATCCATCCATAAAGCAACACTATGCAACCCAGGAAAAAGATTACTCACACCACCAATTCAATATAACAAAAGCACATTTTGAAAGTTTCAGTGGACAATAAAGCCCCCTATTTGCAATGACATATTGAAAAATTAACATCCATCTCCAAAAAATCCAACAGATCTATCGCAAATTCATGTTTCAAGAACAAAAGCAACCATATCCGATTCTCAAAATCATACCACATTCAAAGAGAGAAGCTAACCCAGAACTACTAATCTAGCTTAACACATTCAAAGAGATAATGCTCATGTAGTTTAACACATTCAAAGAGAAAAATAATGCTTATAAAGTTAACTGTACCTCAAATGTTGCTGGGGTACATGAAAACTCTTACACGAGCTCCCTGCAAATGAAACACATATTCATTACACAAAAACCAAATACTTAAAACTATGACATATCAAACACAAAATCTATTTTTTAACAATACCATGGACTTCGGAGGCAAGTTGGACTTGAACTTAGCTCTGACAACACCACTGTTTCCATGAGGCCTTATGACCTTGCCCCAAATACAGCGATAGTGGCTTCCTTGCTTCTTCACCTTGGCCTTGTAGATGTATGCCATGCGCTTACCAGCATACCATGCAACTTCTTCCTTGGTATTGACTCCTTCAACCTGGATCAGGGATGTATTGGGATATTGGTTGGACTTCGACCTAACCACAAAAATAATATTTTAATCTCTAGACTAATCCACACAACAAAAACAATACCTCAATTCAATTTCGTGTGACAAACAATATTCATTTTCTGAAACTCATACAAATGAATTCCCATGATCTGTCATATTCTTCACCAATTACTCGTACAAAAGAATTCCCATAATCTATAATATTCTCTCTTTGCTCTAATTGGACGTTCAATTCAAATTGCTTGCAAATATTGATATATTTCATTTCACTAAACTATACACGCACCACAAATCTTGAACTATTACTGATAAACATGGTTTTTGCTCTAGAAACTAGCAAATATAAACGCTTACTATAAATGTCAAATCCAATGCTAATATTTCAGTTACAACAACAAAATCAAAAACAGTAGCTTCTAAATAACCAAACCCATTATCCAAATACCCTCAAATTCTTTGTTTTCTTATTCAAAGTTCTCGGTAACCAAACAGAAATCACAAAAATACACGAAATAAAATCATAATGTTCGAGATATAGTTATTACCTCTTATAGCCCAAGATTGTACCTCTGACATAAAGCCTAAAAATAAAGACAACACAGAGAGAAAGAGAGATAAAGATTAAAGCAATTATTTATTAGCTTGAATCTCTTAACTAAACAAGAAATAGTTGATTCTTTTTTCTTTTTTTCCAAAACATTAAAGCAAGCATATAGAAGAGCATGCAAGTATAAATAGCAGACCTGACTCGCTCTCCTTGGCGTCCCTTCACCATTTTCCAACTCTGAGGCTAGACGCTCTCTCGCTAAAGTGGCGTGAAGCTGCAAGATAGATGGAAACGTAAAACCCTAGCATCTAGCTTGTTGCTCTTTATATAAACCGTAGACATTGGGCCTTTAGAGTTTAGATCCATAAGACATTAATTCAAGAAAAAACTTTTGGGCTTATGATGTGTTTCTTGGGTAAGGGATTTTTTTCCTCAAATAAATTATATTAATCTTTCTATTTTCAAGAAAAGAATTAATTTGCCTTTCTTATTTTAAAACCTAATTATTTATTTTTTTATTAGTTTTAATCATGCTTAATTTAATATTATTTTATTTTAAAAAATATCAGCTTTTCTAATCAATCCTTCTATATATATATATTTTACTTTTTTCTATTTCTTAAAAAAAATCAAAATAAATTAGGAAAAAAGAAAAGAAAAGGATTGAGTTACATGAAAGTTTAAAAATATTAAGAGTAAATGATTGGTTTTTGGAAAAAAAAAAAGGTTAATTAATTCATTTTTTGAAACTAAAGAAAATAATATATAATTTACTCATAAAAACATCATTCAAGTTTTTTTTTTTTTTCCTTTTTAAGAGAACATCAAGCTTAAAAAATTATGAAAAGAATATTGTAGTGGGCATTTTATGTTGTAAGAACTTGCAAGTGAGGTGATTGAGTAAAATAATATATAGGTATTTTATGTATTTGGAATATATTTAATTAGTTCAAAGTCTGCATTTGTCGGGATGGTCTGTTTATTTATTTTTAATTATGATCCATACATTTATGACATTGTTCAAATGGAAAGTAAGATATTTATTTAGAATTAGGTTATTTTACTTTACCTTTACATTTTTGTTGTTCTCCAATTGTTGTTGGGATATCTTTTTGAGAATTTTAGTAATAGCATGATTAGAAATTGCTCAAATAAATTTGTTGCATTTGATTATTTGTGTATTAGTGATTTGATTATATTCTTATAATCTCTTTTTTTCTTTTTTCTTTTTTTTGTTATCATAGTTATTATAATTATATATTTTTTTATATTGTTCTTATTGCGGTTAAAGATGAATAATATAATAGATTTCATATCAATTAATAATGCTTAACCCAACTTTTGTATAACTTTTACAGTATTTATTTTTTTCTCGAGCTTGGTATCAATATTTGATTACTTTTTTTATTGATTGAAATTGAATTTAGAAAATTAATATTCTAAAACTATAATAAAAAAAATTAAAATTAAATAATTAAATAATATATTTATTTATCATTGCATATCGAATGTAAATTCTTAAACTGGTGTTGATTTTTTAAAGAAATATTATCGTATAACTTGATTTTATAATTTTATTAAAAAAAAAAAAAACTTAATTGAAAAGCAATTAAGATTCAAATAATACATGATTCAACTCCTATACCATCATAAACTTTTGATCGATTTGAAGGACCTTGATTTGGATTGATATAGTTTAAAAGGGAGTTTTTCCTAGTTTTTTTTTTAATTATTTATATATCTTATGGAAAATATTCAATATGCATCTTAAATCAAAGCTTATGATATGAGCTTTCAATAATTTTTTTTTTTTAATTTGGTATCAAAGTTATAGTTTTTCTCCTTTTTATCTGCACGTATGGCAAAAAAAAAAAAAAAAATGATATGTTAATTTTCTAATAGACGGTAAAACATCATTGATTAAAATTTAAATACATTAACACATAAGCAATTTAAATACATTAGTTCATGAGCTTTTGCGTGTTTTGCCAAGTCCTAAAGCCTCGGACAGGAAGTTCTCTTTCACAGCCTTGTTTTTTGCTTTCCAGTCCACGTACACTGAACTAATCAAGAAAATTTGAAACCATGTCGTATGACAACGATTTCAATCACCAGGCTCTCATCTCAGGAAAACATTTATTGTCAAAAAATAGCTAGCCTTCTCACTCTCTAGATCTCGACCACCATTTCATTCGCTAAGCAATCCCAATCAAGTAAAGAGATTAAGCTGAAAGCTTAATCCATGGGTCTTAAGTACAAGCCATTTATTGCATTGTAGTAACATAAGAACCGTGTTTTCATCTCAAGTCTCCACAGACTTGGACTACGAATAAGAAAAAGACTTACATCAGCAGCCACAGTAGACCGTAAACTGCACAGAAATATCAAACACTTCTTCCCTCTATGGCTCTCCAGACACAACTCTCTCCCCTTCACCGACTTGTAACCCATCAAGGGACTGCTTGTGCAATGTCTTTGTGAGCCTAAAAGTTTCAGAACACCTCTTATGCATCCAAAAAGATGGGAATTTGGTAAGATGCCATCTCCACTCTGCTACTGTCTGCTCCTTGAGCCAATCATATTCATTATATTCACCAAAAAAGCATATCAAGTTGCAAATGAATCATATATTTAACAAGGAATGACTCCACAATCAAGAATTTAAAGAATCCAAAGAAGAAGAAAAAAAAAAAACTATACAAGCAGTGTCATGTGATATAGGATATAGCAGAACATGGTACGTGTAACCCCCAAAAAGTACAGGTAGATCATCATCAGCATTTGAAGCCATTACAAATAGACACTACTATAATGAGAATCAAGGCAATCAAGATAGCCAGCACTATCAGCTTTACTTTCATGTTCTGCAACCACATTTTCCTCCTCATCTTGGTTCCCTGCTGCCTGAAATCTTGTGCCTGGGACAACACCGTAAAGGATACATTCATGAGTCAACGAAAAATAAGTCAATTTTGAAATACAATTCAGAAAGCCTAATCATGCGCAATAAACACAAATGCAAAAACTAGCCTAACATGAAAATCCATTAATTTTGGGGGAAGTTTGTTAGCAATCAATGCAAGGACAAGTGACCACCAAACAGTGTTTATGTTTTTGGTAATACAGACTAATGCCAGTCCATGCTTCAAGGAAAATGATAACTAAATACAAAGAAACAGCATCCATCAGCTGCAGCTTTACAATCGCATTACTGTATGTTTCCAAATGAAAACCAGTAAGTTGCCTAATCATATAACATCTGAGTAAGTTTTGTTTTCCTCCACTCCAAGCTGAGAAATTGAACCAGTAAGCCATTGGAACACTTAAAGCCTATCCGATTTGCAATGTAATCCCAGTATTGCTCCGGGAACAGTAAATTTCTCTTTGTAGGGAAAATAAGAATGCAATCTGCCTACTTACCTGAGAGCGAAGGTTTTCTGTTTTGTCCACCAGAAGCTCAATTTTCTCTCCACGATCAAGAACCTGAAGAAATGAACATTAGTTCTCCACATCTCAGTCTTTCATTCTTACGATATATACTAATATGCAGCCATAACCTTCCCAGTAAAAACAATTAAACTAAAACATGACAATACCAAACAATAAGAAATGAACTTCATTAACTAACAGTAGAGCTCCACATCTCGGTTATTAGTTCTTATAATCCATACTAAATATAAAACCAGAATCTTCCCTGTAAAACTATAAACCCCAAACACAACAAACCATGCCATAAAATAGCACACTTTTGTGATCGTTTTGGATAGTTATAAAGAATTAACAATGCTTTACCTTCTCTATGTTTTCCATCATAACTCCTTTCACTTCAGAAACCTGAGCTTTTACTTTAGAAAGTTTGCTGACTTCCTCTGGGTGGTCCACACAATACTGCATATGCTCCTTCAACTTTGGCCTATATCAACAAGGACAGCTTTGTGACACCAATATGATTCACAGCATACAGGAGAATCGCATCCTTCTCCTTTTAGGAGCATACCACATTCAATAAACAAATGATGGGGAAAAATTACCCAAATTCCTTTTTCAGACTATTAGCAACGGCTGTTGCAGCTTTCCCCCACCATATCTGTTGGTAAAATCCTCCTTGACTCGCTCAAGGAAGGCAATTGGAATCTGTCGGCCCACAGACTCGACTGCAACTACACAGTAAGCTGCAAAAGGGTTCGAGATGCCATTAGTTTGACCTATAAATATAAGAACAACAACCAAGAAGATGTCAATAGATCTAATAATAGAAAACGATAACGCAAGCACCCAAAGCATGGTACTCAAATTAGCCAACAGCAAAGCTCTTAAATTCTCAATCGAACATCAAATGGAAAGAAAGATATACATCTTCAGCCATTACAGTAAAATTAGCTGTCAATAGGAGTTTCTTGATCAAACATTAGATGTTTCCTTTCCATTCACCAATACTTCTTCTTCTTCTTCTTCTTCTTCTTTTTTCCGAAAAAACATCAAAACAGCACACAAGTATGAAGTCTAAATCATGGAACATCAGCATGAGAAACAAAAGAATGAGGCACTAAATTTTTTCATATACTATACTGTATATCAAATTTTACGTGGGTGGTCTCTCTCTCTTTTTGTTTTTCTGTTTGTGGAAGAGAAGTGAAAAATGTCAACATTTAGAGGACTCATAAACCCACAGCTCCAACCAGTCTTGTTTTCATGTAATACGTATGGGCATCGAAACAGTGCAGGAATTAATCAGCAAATCTCAGAAAGATAAAGAAAAATTTCTTTCCTTTTGGAAACTTTTGTTTGCCATTAAATTATCACTAACCTGTATGTACAGCACAATACCATATTTAGAAATTTAAAGCTTAAAATAGAAAATAGAAAAAGGATCACTAGACTAGATCAACCATTAATAATCATTAGCCACATCAACTAAAGCAACTGCTATATATATAACATAAGAAAGATCACAAAGACGTAACAATATAAAAACGAAATTCATAGATCGGATCATAAAGAGAGGTAAACGAGCAAAAATCAAGTAATCAAAGCGAGAGAGAGAGAAATACTGAAGCCGTTATCGACGAGGTAGTTAAAGGTGTGGCCATCGCAGTTATAAGTGAACTTGCTATTAGTTGCAGGAAGTTTCTGGAGACACTGAGCGGCTATGCTCGTGAAGTTGCCAGAGAAATCGGTGTAATCAGCCACAATCACTGTGCCTCGAGCCACGAAGCTGTAGATCAACGATTGCTGCCCCATCTACTGCAACAGTTAATGAACCCGAACCCTAACCCTAACCTTAACTCTAGCAGAGAGAAACCTTAACCCTAGCAGAGTGGAAGAGAAGCGAGAGGTTGTGTTGCTGAAGAAGTGGAGATGGAATTTCGAAGAAATGAAAATGACTTTCCTCGTTTTCGTTTTTCTTTATTTTTCTGTTTCTGGTGCTGATGCAATGAGAGGGAGAACGAGGAGAATTTCGTTTTCGCTTAGCAGGAAAGGTAGGTAGCGTAGCGAACATTTTGTTCTGTGAATAAATTATAAATTAGTCCCTTTAGTTGTTTAAAATAAATTAAATAGTACCTTTTAAACAATTATTAAGTAGTTTTTGTTTTTTAAAATTATTTATTAATTCAATAATTTTGGTTTTTTCTAATTTATTTTTTAAATAGAAAAAGATAATTAAATATTATAAAAATATTGAGAAGAAAATAATATTTTTTTTAATATTGTAATATTAGTTTAATTCAAGGGACTAATTAATTAATTTCTAAAATAAAAGAGATTAGTCAATTTATAATTTACTTTTTATCATTTTTTTAGTGCTTAAACTACCCTCAAATTAGTTTATGTTTGAATTTCAAATTTTACAAATAGTTCAAACTTATTAAGACACGAGTAAGGTAGTTGAGTTTGTTGTATTTTTAAAACGACATATAACATATTCTTAATCCATTACATCGGATTAATTTTACAAACATTACGTATCATCTCTTAAGAAAAACAACCTAGTTGTTTCTTAAGACAATCACCTATAAATTATGTTAAAACCATTTTGATAGTTCGGTTATCTTTATACTATAAGACATGATAATATGGTTTTAATTCTTAAATTTTTCAATTGCAAAGGGAAAAAGTTTTAATTTTTTTTGTTTATCTTGATTTACAATGAATTTATTTATTTAGTGTTTGAATTTTTTTTATCATTAATAATGTTTCTTTTTACGTGGTAGGAACAACAATTTGAGATGATTCGGTGTATGTGATTAAAATCATCAAAATAATATATACATGAAATTTAATATTATGTTATTTATAATATCAATGTCATTAGTTACTTATAATTCTACTTAATTGAGCATAAAACAAGTATTGAAAATGGCCATATCCAAGATACCATTATAGAGGCTAAGAATAAAAATTTGGTAGCAAATTGTTTTGTACCAATGTGGCCAAAATACGAAGTTTTTTTTTATTATTATAAATTTCATCTTGAATTTAATAATTTTTTTCTCACACAATTCTAAGGACTTTAGTAATTAAAACTACCTTTATGATGCAATATCGCTAGAGAGATACGAGCAGATGGACTGCATTTGTTATTGTTCTTTAAATATTCCTCGAGTGAAGAAATATAGCTTCTTGAATGTTTTATATATTTCTTATCGAATCGTACCATAATAACACAATAATCTGCAATAATCTTCACTTAGATAAATCTCTTGCTTTTCTTTAAATTCAACCAGTACTTTTTTTTTTAAGTAAACAGGGACGATGCCTGACATATTTTATTAAATAGAACAAATGAATACAAAGGAAGGCAACTCCAACCTGACCCCAAATTATAGGGATTAGGCAGCCTAAACCCTACACATGAAAAAAAGAGTTAAACTCTAAAACTGTACAAATCCATCACATCCCGTCTAAAATTATGTTTAACAGCAATAGAAAGATCATGAAGTGGAAACAAGTGTTTGACCTGTACGGGAATATGCATGTTTTGTCCAACTATTCGTTATTGAATTCTGTTCACATAAAACGCGCGAAAGTTTTGGTCTGTCTGATATAGACTGACGCCCCCAAAACTACTGCTCATACCTCCACGGCGGATTACATTTTATTAACAGAAAAAATTACATGTAATATATATATATATATATATATTCATGATTTGTGTAGTGAATTTGATGGAAATTTGTGTAATTGAAGCGGGTATATAAAGGTTCTACGTAGGTAAATAGGCAACTTGCCTAATGGCTTCGTCATCAGTCGTGCTATTTTAAAAATAATTTATGTGTTAGAGTTTTTGTAATAAAATTGATGGGTTTAAATGTATTTCATTTATTATCCAATCACAATATAAATATTAGTTTTTAACCTCTATTATGGCCAAATACAAACACATGATTATTAATTCCCTAAAATATTTTTAAAAGCCTTAGAGTATTTTAGATCTTTTTTAGTTCATTTTCTGTCGGTTTCGATGATAATATTTTATTAAAATATTCTTAATGAAAGTCACTTAATTCTGTTGAAAAGTTATTTAAAATAGTAATATTTTATTAAAATATTCTTAATTAAAGTCATTTATTTTTGTTGAAAAGTTATTTAAAATAGTAAGTTTGCAATTAGTATGGGTAATCGATTTGTTTATTATTAATTTTTTTACTTACGTTAAGCTACGGATCGAACAAAATATATACAATTATTTTTAAAAAATTATTTTATTTTGATGTCTCGTGTTATATTGTACGTCTATCAAAATATAAGAAATTAAAATTGAATAAAAATTCATTCAATTTTATCATTTTTAATCAAAATTTTCTATTTAGCTAATTATTTTTTATATTTTCATAAATTTTTTATTAAATTATTTATTTATTTATTTCTATCTACATTTTTATCTAAAGTCTTATTTTGTAAATTCTCTTTTTCTAAACATCTTTTTGCCTTAAAATTTTTAATTAAAAAATCAGAGAAAAAAATGCAAGGACCAAAGTGATCAAAATGAAACAAAAAAAGTAAGATCAAAATCAAACAAAAAAATATTAGCATATTAAAAAAATATTTAAAAAAGAGGGATCAAGGTGTAATATGAAAACTTTTATAATAAATGTCTTAAAAATATTTAAAAAATAAAAAAATGTCACTAAAAAGTAAAATGAATAATGTATTTGAGTATGAATGAATAGTAAAATAAATCTAAATAAATAATATTTTAAATAATATAACGAATATTAACCAATGATTTTAGTTTAGTTTTATTGTAATTAAAATGAACTGGATTTAATTTTCAAGAATAACAGAAGCCCTTTTCATTTCGGTTGGGCTTTGGTTTGTGAAAAAGAGAAGCAAACCAAGGCCCAGGCCCAAAAGCTAACTAAATCTGACGATTGCCACCTGCAAAGAATCCAAAAGGCTCCTCTCCTCTCATGTTATTAGCATTCCAATAACAACTAAGCAGCAGTAGCAGAAGCAGAGAGTGCGTGAGAGAGAAGGACAAAGCAAGCCATGAGTGGGTCCTTCCATTGCTTCTACTACCTTCAATCTAAAATCCAAACTAAGCAGCAGGAGCTGCTTACCTTGGTTCCTCCTCCTCGACCTCGTGTCTCATGTTTATCGTTGTCGTCGCCGCATGTAAAGGGTCTGAGTCTGAGGTTTGCAAGGGTACTGAGAGATGGTCATAAAATCAATGTACGATGCAGTAGCAGCACTGGACCTGGTGGCCCTGGTTCCGGTACATACATCAACTCCTCCATTCTTTATCTCATTTTTTTATATATATATTTAAATTATTATAATAATGGAGAAACCAGAAGCTAATCCCACTTCTTCTATGAATTTAATGATTTACTTGGGAGTTGAATTCGGAGGTAAAAGTCATGAACCAATATATATATATACATAGCCATTTTTTTTCTTTGAATCTGAGACGATCTTTGGTTTTAATCATGTAAATTAAATAGTGTATAGGGATTAGTTGTTTTTAATCATGTAAATTAAATAGTGTATAGGGATTAGTTGTTTTTAATCATTTGAAAGAAAGAAATGGTGTCAAAATGTCTGTGACCCCAATCTATTTGGAAAGAAAAGGGTTTGTGTTTTAAGGATGTTGTCGATAATTTGATGAAACATAAAAGGACTTTCGGCATAGCTAATGGGAACTATCTCTTTAGAAACACAAGTTCAGTCCTGCTTTTGGACTGGCTAAAAGTTACGTCTCTCGCGCACTACTTCTTTAGGCTTGGAAGTGCAATAGTTTAGCGATATGTGTATCTCTCAAGTTCAAATACATTGCTGAAAATGTGGCCCCTGTTGTTGTATTATTTGGAATTATGGTTAACTCAACATTGCATATCTGTCGTGGAAAAGAAAAATATTGATTACTGGCAAACATCACTTAACCATAAGAAGTAAGAAGCATCCTTTCCAATGCTAAATTTTTTCAACAGTACTCTGATAATGAATGATGTAAAGACAGACTATAAGTATTAGAAATTAGGGAATGTTGGAGAATATGAAGTGCAAACCACTGAATGAACTTGGGGCCTACAAAATCATAAAGTATTGGAAACAGGAAGTGTAAAGGTGCTAACTGTAGCATATATCACTTGTTATGTGATGTTACTTCTCTGTTGTATAAACAATTGATATACTCGATTTTGCAGATGACTCTGATAGCAAGAGTGTTCTGGATGCATTTTTCTTGGGAAAGGCTCTAGCAGAAGCAATTAATGAGCGTGTTGAATCTGCAGTTGGGGAGTTTTTTAGTACAATTGGCAGGCTCCAAGCAGAGCAACAAAAGCAAATACAAGACTTCCAGGTAGTAAACTACATGTATTGTTATCATCCTATATTTGATTCATTTATAGTCAAGAAGTATTCCTCTCTATGTTGCTTTTTTTCATTGCTGGATGGTTCTTTGAGCAAATTCTTGCATTTTTTTTCAGGCTGGAAGCTGTTTAATTGTATCCCCCGTGTTGAAATTCAATATATGGGATTGCCAACACTGTTATATGATCTAATTTTATTAAACTTAAAAGTGTTATTATCTTCCTTTTATTTCTATTCTATAGGATAGCTGCAAGATCATTTTCTTTTCTTTTTTTTTAGATCAATATATTTTTCCTAATGCTAAAATTATTTTCAAGGTAATGTAGATTATATGGTCTGGGAGTAACTTTTGCAGGCTATGTGTATGTGTTTGTGTGAGGTGGCTGTGCATTTATTTAGTTCATTATTGTAATTGTAATTTATTAGCATGTTGACCTAGAATTGTATATATGCATAAATTGCTTACAGTTTGTATTTTCAACCTTAGTAGAAGTTTGAATCTTTGAACCAGTCATTGTCACTTGCTCCTTCCCTTTCGAGCATCGTTGCTTTATGCTTCCTATGTTTTGGTGCATATACCTGAAAGCCATTGGATCTTGTGCAGGAAGATGTGTTAGAAAGAGCTAAAAAATCAAAAGACCAAGCAGCTCGTGAAGCCATGGTGGGGCAAGGAATCATTTCCGAGTCTACGACAGTAGATACAACATCAGTCAACCATGGTGTTAGCCAGCCACCTTCACCATCTGCCAAGAAAGGTTCAAATCCTGCCAACAAGGACCCTGCTTTAGGGGTGTCAAGTGATGACTGAGCATTCATCTTTGTGTTCTGTGTGTTAAATATTAATATATTTCCCATGGGATAAATTGCTTTTTGTCTCTCGGCATGGCATACCTGATGCAATTAGTTAATTAGTTGCCAAACGTCCAGTACTGAAGAACCTTTTCAAGGGGACTGCATTGCTTCCAAGAATCATTACCACCCGTACCATAAGGTCTAGTGATCAGTTGTCGTGGTTTAGGAATCAGGAGATACCGCATGCTCTGGTGATGCCGTTGTCAAAGAGCAAGCCCCCGAATAAACCTCAGTATCATTCAACACTTTGAATGTAATACTTACAAGTTGATGAATTCAGTTTCCAACTTGATAAAGTAGTTGAGTTTATAACCTTGATCTTTATATGCCACAAGTTCTCGCTTGCATGATGCATATTTTAATTCTAATATATATATACATATATATATATATGAAGAGCACCCATAGCCGTACTCATTTACATTTAAGATTTTTGGTACTGCTCTGAAAGGCAGAATTATGGGCTCCCAATTTGTTGTTGCATTGGGCATGGCGGCTTGATTATAGGAAGGTGGTTTTAGAGATGCTTCAGATGTGATGGATGGTGCAAGCTGTCATAATCTATCTGGATTCCGGCAGCCTTTAGTGGATATTTTTGTCTAGACAGGGAGGTTAATGTTCCTTGTATTCGGAGGAGGGAAGAGAAATTGCTATTTTTACTTGCTATATCAAAATTCACAATTGAGTCAGGAATTCCCGGCGTGAAACCTGTGGTTTCTTGGTCACAACTAGCTAAAGCTAAAGTTCCATCAAAGAGCGATTTCATGGGGTAGAACCTCCTCAGGGAATATAAGGTTTTTACGAGGAGTTGCCATCGTCTTCAATTTTTAACAAATAGATATTTTATCTTTCGAAAACTGCACAATCAATTGCAGTTGATTCAGCTTGACACATCCATTTTTGCACTTGATTCTGCGGTTTTAAAAAGATGGAAAACGTAATTGTTAAAAATTAAAAATGAGGAACTTCATTGTGAACTCTGATGAAGTTCTAGCGCTAAAAATAGCTAATAGCGTTTTTGGAGAAGGAAGCCGGTACGGTATCTGGTAACCGAATTTTGCATTGACTATATCCTTGGGATCTCTTTTTTCTTTGGGTCACCCTTGTGAGGGTGTAATCTTTATGCTACATCAAGATAGAGTTGGGAACTTGAGATGGAATTGGGTTGCCATATCACATTTACGTCGAATTTAGTTTCTCCCTGTGGGGTTTAGGCCCCCTTTTTACCCCAAAAAGAAAAGGAAAAAGGTCAGATTTTAGAGATTGCAACGAAGTGCTGGCTCGAGGGTCTTTTCGATGTGTTGATGCCATATTCTAATGCCTGAGGAGAATGATATTGTGCACAATACGGACCGTTTCTTGGTGGCTGAATCAAGGCCAAAAGCTCCAAGAAACACAATTTGACAAGCTCATATAAGGATCGTGAACTGCACCTTACCCTCAATCCTCGAGAGCACGGGGCTTTGATAGGGGAGAAACCTAAGGCTTTTCCTTTTCTTCTAATTTCTCCCTCTCCCTCCCCCAAGGAGTTTTTTAGGCAGGACATTCTTGGCTTTCAATAATGGCACAATAATCCAAGTGGTGATGCTAATGTCGCATGGAACATCCACATACTTTACCAGGATCATCTACAATGGAATACTGGTCTTTTGGAGATCGCATTAGAGCATTCTTGATATTGAGAGTTGCACCATGGTAAAAGCAAGGTGACATAAATTAATCTCGCTGTCTTTAACAAAATTGCCTTGAATCAACAACAGTTAGTATTTCTATTGGACTTGTCCCCTCCTCCAATTGAAAGGGAAAAAAAGAAAAGAAAAAAGAAAACTTACCCATCACTCTTCATCAAACTGAATACCAGACATAGGCACCTCACCAATAATTGGATTGGATTCGTTCATCTTCCCGCTCCTGTCTTCAGCATCCATGGCAGAACCTTTCTTATAATCCACTTTAAAGTCATAATCAGCATCCATTGTATCCACTTTAGCTGCCTTTTTCCTCCTTTTCTTCTCTGCTCTTTTCATCTTTGTATTCAGTATACCTTCTGCTGCATATAGCTTCTCATTTTGCCTGCTAATTTCAGTTTTTGCCTTGGTCTTGCTAGCGTTGTCATCTTCAGACCCCATTGGCTCGTCATCATTGTTAATCATATCTTTGGAGCTTTCATCACCTTGGGTTGATGGTTTGGCTTCTACATCTCCATCTCCCTGATAAGTGTGACAAATGTGATCAGAAAAAAATACTGAAAGAAAATAATATTTTTTAGAAAAACACAAGACTGCAGAATTAGATGTCTCAAGAAATATAATCTGTTATAAACATGGAAATACAAAGAGCATAGTAATTAATAATTTACTATAAGCAATTTTAACATGGAAAACTACAACTTTTCTCCTCCATGTGGATATCGAACTTATAAAAGATGACATTCATACAGTAAAGCCTTTTGTGGTTATATAAATTCTTTCTTGGGGATAATCTTCATGTGAAACATCCAGAGATGAATAAACCAATCACAAAAACAATCATGCAGTTGGCATCATCAGAAAGCATTTGAAACAGAACAGGTTTGGAGAGCAAAACTCACTCACTGCATAACCAAAGAATGTGAACGATTCTCAAATGCAGAAACCAAGGGTGAAAAAGACACAAACCTCAATCATCTTTTCATCAAAATTGAGAGGACAACCAGGAGGAACTTCTACATGATTGAAGTCATCAACAGACTTAAGGCTTCCAATGAAAGAAGATTCACCATTGTAAACTTCATCAATGTTAAATTCCTTCCCAAACTCTGAAACAATCCTCGCCTCCGAAGGCTCATTTTGATTCCTGGCTGGGGGCAATGTGTAATACGGTATCTTACCTGAAAAATGTTGAATATATAACCTCAATAGGAATTTCTGTCTTTTACACATGCAATGTGTCTTTCCTGTATTTGTCTTTTATGTATTGAAGGAGGGAAGAGACAGTAAAAATTCATTAGAAATGCATACCCTCATTCCAGTCGTGCAGAACAATTCTAGCAGCAGCATCAACATCCACAATGCCACCCTTTTTCAGTCTACCCCTGACAGTAGCCAACTTTTGTAGAAAGTCATCAACTGAATCAAAGCTGGCAATCTTGTATAGTGTTACCAACCGATTATCTGGGCACAGCTTGAGAATTTCCTTCACTGCATTGTCCACAGAATAGTAACATGCATCAGTATGCTAATCATATTTCTAGCATGAAGGTTTCTGCCAAGACAAATAATACATCTCAATTTCCTTGAACATTAGCGCCGCAGATTTCAAATTTACAGATTCATAATTCTGTGGCCTAATATAAACTCATACTGCAGGATTTAGTATCCTATGTCACTTAAAGTTTACATGTTTACATGATCGTTTTCATATATTTAAAAATCATTTCCAGGGATTATGCAACTTTGTTCTTCAAGCAGCAAATAAATACTGGGATGCTTGCAATGTTTTTCCAGAAAACAAAAAGGACACAACTCTCAACTTCCCATTTCAAATTCAAAGAAACTCAAAGATTATTTGCTAGCGAGGAAATTATCCCAATCATTCGCGGTGACAAGATACATTCAATGAGAGCTAGATTAAAAAAGAAAAATGATATCTGCAAGACCATTAAATTCCAAGGTAATATAATCCTTGAAAATAAGGAAATCAGTAAGAATGGAGCTGCTAAGATAGATCCCCATAACCCTAACTCCAGCATGCAGAAGAATTTGTTTTTTGGCCCAAAAATACAGATGAACTACACAGAGGCAAAACTGACAAAATATTAACAGAAAAGAATGGGTCATTTACCTGGACCAACCGGATCATCCAATTTCTCGATCCTTTTGCAGTTTCGAAGAGCTATAGATGCATCATCCTCTATAGATTTAAGCATTACAACACCAGGACAGTCCAACAATTTAACATTCTTGTCTAGCTGAACTTCTTGCATTGATCTAGTTAATCCTGGAGTAGCGCCAACATTGACAACATGGCATCTCTTCAAGCTGTTAATTAGACTACTCTTACCAACATTGGGCAGGCCAATTACACCGACTGTAATAGATTTCTTGATCTGAAAAAATCCAAGATGTGACTGAGATTTCTACTTGCAAGAACATGATTTTACAGGCTTCAAAAGCCAATTTAAAACTGTAGCATACTTTAAATAAAAGGCTAAATGGGTCAGATCTCTCTTGAACTTTAAGTCATTTGAGAATTGGTCCCTCGACTACAAATTTAGAACTAAACTCCACTCGAAATCAAGTCTTTTTGTTAACTTTCCCAAAAAGTTAAGGATTTTTGCATGTGAAATTCATGCTTTACATGATTTGATTTAAACCATTGATATTGTTCATTTGACTTGGACCCTTAGAATTACTTAGTTTTGGTCAGAAAAGGAAGTATAAAATATATATGCAAAAATCACAAAATATTGTCAAAAAAAGAAAAGAAACAAGAGAGCAATAGAGAAAGTGGCGGCGACCCACATTACAGTCACCATCAGCAAAGAGACCACTGCCAGATGAAAGATCTTGGCACACTGAGTTGGTTGATATTAAACTCGACCTCTTTAGCCTCTGGTTTTGAGATAGTTCTGAATTTTGGATCTAAAACCTTTTTTTTTTTTTTTGGTTCATTGGTTACTTAAAAATGGATTTTGAACTTTTACTTGAGCTTAGGGGTTTAAAGGAATTGATTTGGTGGCTGAAAGGGTAAGTGAAAGTGGAAGCATTGCAAGCTGAAATAGACGTAGAAGATGGTGGAACTTCAATTCATTCCCCATATGTTTAAACAATCCAATGATGACCCTAAGGTCAAGGAGGTCAATTCCGAAATTTGGACTTGAGGGACCAATTCTCAAATGACTTGCACTCTATTTGTTTGTTGTGGTGGGGTGTTGTTGTGTGTGTGTGTGTGTGTGTGTGTGTGTGTGTGGGGGGGGGGGGGGGTGGGGGTTGGTGGGGGTCGTATAGATAATGACACAAGAAAGGATTGTATTCAATTCTTCCTCACTTAACAATTTCCAATCCTCCCAATTTGGGTGGAATGGCTCCTATCCTTCCATTCCTTTATAATTTTCAATGCCTTCAATTTGGATCAATGGACTCTTATCCTTCCACTCCCTTGTTAGCCAAACAACTACATGGATGGTTTTCTCCTACCTCCCCTTCCACTTCCCTCAACCCATCCTTCCTGACAAACAGACCCTTAAAAGTTCAAGGGAGGTCTGACCCATTTAGACAAAATAAAATACTTCTACCTCAGTACTCTCTTCAGAAAAGAAAACAAAATGATGTACTACCATACCTCATGACTTCTTGAGTAATTCTTCAGCAATTTAATAAGAGTTTCAGCTCCAAGACAGTCGCTTGTTTGCAGAAGATTGCTCGTCTTTGCTGATTTTGAGGAAGATTTCCACCCTAAGTTTGATCTCTGCTCCTGCGTGCTGCACTTAAAAGCAACTGCTGGAAATTCTTCCCGAAGATGCTTAAGCCATTTCTCAACAGCTTCACGAGGAACGAGATCTAGAAAAGAAGAAACAAGAAAAATAAATGCAGCGGAAATACAAAGGTTTGGGGAAAATGGAGCATTCCACCTGCCCCATGGCATCTTAATACATTCAAGAAGCAAGTACACCTTCAATAAAATGAGATGAATTACCAATTTTATTTAGAAGCAACACTAGGTGCTTATCATAACCCGATTTCATCACCATCTTTTCCATATCAACACACCGTGTACCAAGGGGATCCCGTGCATCAAGGACCTCCAGAATGACATCTGATGCTTCAATAACTTTAACCAGCTCCTTGTAGAATGCCCTATCAGAATTATCTGCACGAGAATAAATATGTCAAAATAAAAGCACAACAGATATACAGGATCTTATCACGGATTCTTCCATGCATGTTATCCTTTCTTATACCGGCATACCTCGGTTTCTCGTGATTCCTTTGAATTCTTTGCCACCATTTTGGTCTTCAATATTTTGTTCTTTTGCTAAATTTATAGTGGCCAACTTGGAGAGATCATCATTCTCTAACAGCCCCAGCTTCCTCTTTTGAGCCTGAAGATACATAAGAAGATGTGTTACCAACAACTGATTAAAGGTACAAGACAAAATTGCATGTCCTATTTAACAAGATAACAACCTGGAAAATGAGCAGTCATATTAACAAGATAATTGTCTCTTTGAATTGATTTTGAACCAAACATTCTACCTAGCTTGATCCAAATCAGTAGGAACAAAAGTGGCCATGTATGCATGTTTAGAACTGCAAACTGGAGAAATTTTTCCAAGAGAGCCCATCAAAGCTACTGAATGCAGCAGCTTATTTATCTAAAGCTTTACAAATACAAACTTCTTTGTTTACTAGATTATAAGAACATCTATCTGGATTCACTAAGCCAACAAATATGAAAAAAAAAAAGTAAAAAAACAAAAATTAAGGCAATGAAAACGATACCCTCTCTTTGCGGGCAGCTTTCTTTTGCTCCAATTCCTCAATAGCGCGAGCCCTGCGAGCTTCAAGAGCCTTAAGCTCTTGTTCCTTGAAAGGCCATTCATTAGGAATACCAGGGTCCTTCTCAACCTTGCTTTTTTTATTCAAGCCCGACTTCTTAGCTTCTTTGGCCTTCTTTTTGTGATGATCCTTCACTTTCTTTATGACCTTATACTTCTGTTTCAATGTCACCCTCTTACTCTTACTCTCTACACATAAACATAAGCCCCGAAAAAAAATTGAGAAAAAGACAATCTTTTCAGTACAAGCGTTGCCGATATTGAGATTAGAAAAAAGGGTTTTGCTTACTTTTGCTCTTCTTCACCATATCTGATTGCTATAGGTCTGATGTCCTGTAATTAAAATTGTGCAAAAATTGAATCACACTTGGTGTTTTATAAGTTGCAAAATCAAACAAACAAAAAAAATCCTCAGCTTCGGAGAGAAAGACGAGGAAGCAAGAAAAAGAAAAGAGCAAACGTAGAGAGTTATGCAGAATACCTGGAAGAAGAGGTGCGTTTTTTCTTTTGGTTTAGAGACTTTCGGCCAACAAAATGGAAAGGCGGTTGCTAGGGTTTTGGAGAGGGATATGAAAGACAGGATCTTCGATCTACTTGGAACTAAATATGGGCCAAATGATGATCCAGTTGGCAGGCACCGTATGTACGCCCAACTGTAAAGACTCCAGCCCAATGTCTAAGGCCCAACTAGAGATTATTCCGATTTGGCAGAGGGTAAGAAAATTTCGGACTCCGGATACCTGGATAAAATCGAAAGCAGCAGCACTTATGATTTATGAAGCATGGATACATGTACGAAATACAGATACAGATACAACCTTTTCAAAAGTTTAGCATATAATACAAGAGTAATACATTTATTTTTTTATTTTATACAAGATATTTATTTTTGAAAGTGAATAAAAATAATAAGTTAAATGGGTTAAACATTCTCTGAATTTTAATTTATTTAAAATTAAATTTTTTAAAATTTTAATTTCGAGTTTGATTTCACCTGAATTTTTTTATTTATTTTACATTTCATCCATCCTATGATTTTCAGAATTCACCTATCCTTATTTGTATTTTGATATCAAGTTTTGCACACACTTTTGAAAAAAATCAAATCCATTTTTCAGAATTTTTCAAGGTCAAAAAAATATATTTATTCAGTTTCTAAACATTAAAAATATATTAAAAAAAAATCCAGAATGATCCTAAAGTTTTTTTAAAAAAATTTCAAATAAATCTTGCTAAATAATTTTCATCACTAAAATAAATATTTATGTGACCATTATTTTTTATTAAAAAAAATAAAAAATTAACTAAATCTAAAACGAAATAAAGTTTATGGTTCTTGTAGCCATTTGGTAATTTGCGTTACACCACCACTTAGCGAGAGGCAGCCACTTTACCTGATGTTCACCAGTCATAATGGGTTTTGCTGACGCTTTGTTATTAAAGAGTATTAAAACTCATTCATGTAAATCCACTATCAAAATTTTTCATGGAACGCTCGTCCTCGTGATTATACTGTTTACACTCCACAAATTTATGCTACTAATATTTTTCTCAATGACAAACTTACCTTTAGTATTTACTCAGTTGAAATCAGATTCTTGTTTAGCTATTGAAGTAAATTTCGAATGCCCCTAAATATAAATGTTGAATTTTGTTGAAATAAATTTTGATGCCTGAAACTGTAGACGTGCTCAAACTTTCATAAAATGGAAAAGAAAAACAGTGAGCATCTTCCAAGCTCTGTCCCTACTTTCACTTCATTTTCCAAAATCTCATCAATTGATAGCATTTTTCTTGCAGAAGCATATATCCTTCAGTGCCGATCCTTTTGATCGTTGTGAGAGTGCATTTTTTGTAAAAGAAAATAGATCATCAGGATAACTCAACAGCTCCGGACAAACGAAAAGAATCATGTTGTCAGGTCCATCAAGTCAAGGCAACCCCAAAGATGCAAGCTTGATAGAGATTTGAGAAGTCCTATCTGATTCGGCAGACAAGATAATCCTTTGCAATGAGCAATTAACAAAGATTGGAGAGAAGTGAGATTCTGGACACACTAACAAACCACACAATATAGTGATTGGCAGACTAATTAAGTTTTAAGTACTCTAAAGAATTGAGGTTCTAGAGACCTTCAGGCAAGCTTTCAAGTTCATGACAACTCCAAATCTCACAATGCTTAAGAGAAGAAAGGTTATCTAGCTGATTTGACAGACTCGAGACTAAACGCATGACCAAGTGACAAGTATTCAAGGAGAGTATGGTCTTGCAACAGTCCATCTGAGAGAAGTGTCATATCATCAAATCAATCTATATAAGAAGAAAAAGGAAAAAGAAAAGGAGTGATTTTCAAACAAATTAAGAAAAAGGGAACAAACGAAAACGTTTTACTAATGTATTAAAACAAATGGTCTCACAAAATTAATCTAAACCGATCAATGTTTTGGCAAACCAGGTTCTATGACTCACCTCATAAAATCTCATGCCAAAGAGCTAAAAAGGACATACCAGCTACCAGAAAACCAGATGCAGCTAAGTTAGCAAAGTTAAAATCTTTTTTACAGATCTGTTAGGCCCTGTTGTGTTTATAATTAAGGCAACCATTTTAGTTCATTATAAAAAAGCAAGAAAAAACATGCTTATCTCATAATCAACTTTTCTGAGATAACATGTCTGCTACCCAACGCTTCTACTTTAAAAAGCAGAAGCAAAAGCTCGCCTTATAAGCACAACATGACCAAATGGTGACTGAGTCAATGGATAAAAAAAGAAAAAGAAAAGAAATTATCTCTAACAAAACTTGCCAACTCTCCTATGCTTTAGATGGGGGTAAATAATAAACATATATCAAACTCAAATCTACCTTGCATCTGCAAAGTAATCATCCCTGCTACCATCTCTAGTTAAACCATGTTAACTCGTCCAGAACTCCATGGAAGAAGAAAAAATTATATCCATACTGAAAGGACCATGACTGAGAACGACCATAAATAACAAGAAATACCAGCATCCAACTATAGATCCATGAAAAAACTACTTGTAGCACCATTAGCATGCTCATTTTTTCTCTTGGTTCCTGCAAACATTCGGAAAATTAAAAAAGAAAATACATCAGATTCTAAAGACACTGTACTTGTAAGAATGCTGCATAGCATGCTTTAACCAACACATTCATCTATGGTAGTTTTAAAAGTTGACTGCAAGAAAGCCACAAGCAAAGTTGGGACTTCAGGTAGTTGAAAAGACAAGTAATACAAAGTTGGGATTTGAGGTTAAATGCCATCTCTTAAATTTTCAGTGTCAATGATTTATGCAACTGTTACAGAGTTTGAAATCAGTGTTTAAAGGAGCAAATGGTGTCTATTTCATATGCAAAACCGTCATTGCAGGATAATTAAGTCAACAGATATACTGCTCCTTGTTGCTCACATATGCAATTATATTAGGTTCAGTACATTTTAACATCAGCAAAGGACCAATCAACCAGCAGTCAGGACACTATCTTAACTTTCAAAGTTTGCTCAACCTAGCAAAGATAATTTCTTGACTATTAGCTCTTCATGTGCAAACCTCAGATAAAGGAGGATGGTGATTCATAATTCAGCAATTAAATCCAGGGTACCTTTTCTAGACTTTGGAGGTTTAGTATCCACATCCATTTCATCACTATCACTGTCTGATGCAGCAGCTTGATCATTTTGAGCATTTACAGAATTTTGCAATAAATCATCCAAATCCCACATCTGAATGAAACAAGGATTGGAGTCAGGACATTACACTAAAGGCGGCATGGAAGGTGTTAAATGCAGAAATTTTGTGCAGAGGAGCACAAACGTGCATGTCTGCGTGCATATGTTAGAGACATGTTAGATAATTTTTAGGTTGGTAGAGAGAGAGAGAGAGAGAGAGAGAGAGAGAGATCCACCTTTAACACTTGATCATGTGATATACTGCCGAGAAACTTTCTGTCATGAGAAAAGGCTGCAGATTCCAAACAAAATTATACTCTCAGCAAGCTTGTTTTGGCAATCTAAAAACATGAGTCCAGCTTTCTAGACAATCATTAATGGAAAATGGGATGAGATGGTAACTCTTAAATAAACCTCAAACTTTGATGAGACGACATACACATTAGAAAGTTCTTATTAAGCGAACCAGACCCATGGCCACCTTAGTTAAACCAGTGTTGTAAATTGCCAAATCAATTTATGTGGAACCCACTCTTTTTAAATTAGAAAACCACTTATTGAGACCACATAGCAATAAGCCCTCCAATTTTACACACCGTACTCTTATGCAGTGCCTTTTTGCTTAACTTCATCTTGTGGAGTACTTTTTTCTTTCTCTCAAGTCATTAAACAAATCACAGCAATTCTACCTATGAAACAAACAGTTACGTGTGTCATCAACAATGCACAACAATCACTTCTTTTCTTTCTTAGAACTTAGGAAAACTCTCTGAGCAGCACTATTGGGTTTAAGAGAGCAAAACCTTTCAATTATTGCCACTTTTCAAAATCTGGGAGTTGGTTAGAGGGTTTTCGAAACAAAATTCTCTTTCGATTATATGGTACTATTGAAAGACAAAGTATTATTATTATTGATTTCACATTATGCAATTAGTTTCATGAGTACAATAACAACAGCATATGATTTTGAAAACAAAAAAGAGAACTTTCATTGGCATGAGAGGCAAAGAGAGGAGTTGATAATCACATGAAAAGGAAACAGTAGAAGTTCAACTGGAAGTTTACTGTTGCATGGCGTCAACGCACAACTTCTTTTAATTTAAAAGGACTGGAACCCATAAGTAGTGGCTTGAAATAACCAAGGGGCCACAAGTCAGACTGACCTAGCAAAAAAACTCTACATTAACACACAGACCTGTTCACAATTGAACAATGATGGAGGTACAGAATTAGACCCAATGCAAAAAAGTCACCATGACATGTCAATCCAATCACAACTTCCATCAATCACAAAGTAAATATAGTTAACATAAAGCTTCTATTGAGGAAGAGAAATATACAGTACCAAGATGCTCAATAGGATACTCCGAATGTTCAGCAAGAGGTTGGATGATTCTGTTAGGTAATATGCCTACCAGACTGAAAAAAAGAGGGGGGAAAGAATAAGTAAAAACAGAGAAGGGAAAAAAAAGAGTATGATGATGGTGATTCAAAATTTCGATGAGAACAACCCTTTCCTATTCAATACAACTCACCTTATGAGTCCATTCTCACATCCAGTAATGACTCTGTCTTCATCAAGCTAAAACAAAAGATTAAATGTTTAATTAAGCAAGTTCCTGGATAGTTAAAAAGCCAACCAATACAACCGAAAAAAAAAACACACCTTCAACAAAGAATCGATGGAGTTTGGAGAAAGACCAGTCAAGCGATCACTGAAAATCAAAAGAAATATTCAGGACACTTCACCAAGCAAGAAATTAAGATAGTCTAGAACGAGAATTCAATTGAAACTCTCCATTCATGAAAGGAGACTTGCACTGCATCCTAAAAATTTATAGTATTTGTACATTTCAAAAAGGATACCTGCAGTCCTTGAAAAAGCCCCAAGAATACAATAGCAGAGTTCCATTCTGCGAACCACATATAACTTTCCGACCATTCTGACAACAAAATGGTTCAAATTAGAGCAGGAATTTAGCAAAAATATATTACGAGAAATAGCTTTCAAGTATTTCCTTTTGCAGCTACTTGCATATGAACAAAAGCACACAGACATTTGAAAATCATTTATTTTCTACAGTGCTGAAAGTTCATTATGGTGCTAAAGGGTAAGATCTGTGGTGGGAGATAACAAGAATGCTACTTAAGTTTTATTTCTCAGAATCCCCACCTCCAGGAGTTGAGTGCTCTATTGGAATATGGGAGGGGTTGAAGCAATCTACCCCTGACCCAATCGGATGATGTAAATATATGTTGCCAAAACAATTTGCTAATAAGCTCACAAAAAGACAAACATATGCTTCACACAGCCACAGAAACTATTTAAAAATCATATAAATGTTTACCTTCATAATAACAACAGACAATAGCTCTTCTTCAGAAAATTCAGACTGAGATTGGATCTGATATAAACGTAGAACAAATTAATCAAATTGCACAACTCTGCAGAATTTCCCCGAAGGTATTTTTTTCTGAAAGAATAGCTTACTTTATTGCTGCGAAGGTTGCAAACAGAAAGGGTCCCATCTCCACTAAAAAGTATGCAAGACACAAAATCACAAGAGTTTTGCTTAAAGTATCAGCCAAAAAAAAAAAAAGAAAAAGAAAGAAAGAAAAAGAAAAACAGAAAAACAGAAAAAAAAGAGAAGCAAACGACAACAGAATGAAAATTACAAAATCCGGCAAAATGCTCTGCTTGAGTAATAAAAAAATTATATGCAGATGTGAATCGATCAATCTTTTAGAGAAAAAACTAAAAAGAAGTAAAAGAGGAACCTGACAACAACAAAGACAATTCCTTTAGCTAACAACCCCCAACAAAAATACATGAGTCTTGTAAGAGTCTACTCAAATCAATATAGTATATATGAAAAGAATCATAAAGCTCCTCAAAGTTCCATATGTTTTCATAACAATGTCTTAATCATCTCAACCTCTTAATGCAAAATCATGATAATGGAGATATGTTTACAGCATTCAAAGAGAAATAAAACAAGTTACAACAGCCTTAAATACCTTGTTGACAGAAGTTTCATGGAATCAGATACAAAAGTCATATCTGAAACATAATCTTCGTGTGCATTAAAAGAATTGCAACAAGAGCGTTGCCTGGTATCCCATACCTGCAATGAGGAACAAATGACTTAACATTCAAATAAAGGATTTGCAATGTAAGATGTATAACCTTAAAAGAGTTCAACTACAAGCAGGAAATATTATGCAGACAATCTGCTCCTATCCAAGCTCAGGACATTCTCATTCAGCAAATACTAGAAGGTTCATTGTAGTAAAAAGTAACAAGCTACAATTACATGTTGACAAAATCATCAATTAAGAGAAAAGAACGAATAGGAAAAAGGAAACAGCAAATTGCAAGAGCCATGTATTGTGTGGGCATATTCCAGATAACTAGAGAGGCAACAACAAAAAAGACTAGGATGCAAGAGGATATAAAAGCTATGTCCATTCTAGATCACCATAACTTTTACAAATAGACACATAAAGACATGAGATACAGTCACCTTGATAAATCCTTGATCATCCCCAGTTGCAATGGTTGACTCTGTGAGGTTTATCAAACTAAAGATGGCATCCCTGTGCAAGGAAATTATTGTCATATGAGAATAAAGTGCTAAAGAGGTCAAAGTCAAAAAAACAACTTTGAAGAGAGATGGGCATGAATCCATTTCATCAACCTTTAAAGTTTAAAGAAGAAAACAAAAGAAAAATAGAAACCTACTCATGGGCATTTTCTAGACGAGCAATTGGTGAACCAGTTTCCAAATCTGTTGCCAGAATGGAGCAATCACTAGAACCTGTGATAATTGCTGAACTCAAAAGCACATATGACAGGATAGTTAGAAGTGCAAAAAAGAATAGCAGCAACCAGTACAGTTTGAAGGCTAACAAATGAATATTGGTGAATCATAAAATGAAAATCAAAATATGGCACCTTGTCCATCATTGATGAATCTAGCAGCTCTACAAGACTCAGTATGTGCATGAATATCCAACAATCTGATAAGAATTTGAATTACATATGTTGATTAGAATACTAGGTAACAAAACAAGTTAAAAGAAAAGAAAAAATCTTCCATTGCATTACAGTACCTTTGTGGCGAGGAATCAGCATTGAAACGGTATCTATAACAAGAAAGTTCAAATGATTAAACATTAAACCAAGCATATACAGGAAAACAATTTCTAGAATAATAAAACTGTGGACGAAAACCAGAGTTAAAGAAGAGTATACTAACAGGTGAAGGTCGCCAGTGATCAGGCCGGCAGTCACTAGATTAGTCGAAGGATGGAAATCCATGGTAAAAGGAACTTTTCCTAAATCTATCTCCATTTCCCCTCTCTCTTTTTTCCTATATTCTTTGATATATACTCAATGCCAACAGCTAAAACCCTCTGAACACTTCAATGACAAGTGAGTGCAGTTTAGTACTATCCTATTTGAGCAATGAAAAGAACAAAACATAACTTTGGTTAAAACACTTGCTTATATAGACAATAAAGTGAACATGCTTAAAAGAAAGAAAATAAAGTTGAAGTAGAATTCACAGAAATCAACACCAGAAATTGGTGTAAGGAAGAGAAACCCACAAATCAAAACTAAAGAAGGAGAAGAGTACCTTCAGCTGCGCTGGATAGTGAGTTAACTCCGGTGTCATGCACGGATGGTGGTTTGGTTGGTGGCTGCTACTGATTTTCCACGGTGGTGGTATTTCTGCGATGGATGGTTCAGTGGTGAAGGAGTGGAGGTGGTTCGGTGGCGACGCTGCTCCTGGTATACATGTGCTTGCTACGTTTTCGTTCTTTTCTTTCCTCCCTTCCTGTATAAACAGGGTACGAAGGGTCCTCATATCTAGGTATACATTATTTTACTCATATCTGGCCCATTTGACTCATTATCCATTAAAGTATCCTAATGGGTTGGGCTGATCAGGGTACCCATTTTGTTCCCGACCCATCCAGAAGCCCAACCATCAACTTAAGAGGAGGAAATCTCCGAAGATGCGGTTAACGATGATGACGAGCCGATGGGGTCAGGAGATTAGCAGGCTAGCAAGACGAAGGCGAAAAAAAAAGAAAAAAAAAGAGGCAAAATGAGAAGGAGGAAATCTCCGAAGATGCGGTTAACGATGATGACGAGCCGATGGGGTCAGGAGATTAGCAGGCTAGCAAGACGAAGGCGAAAAAAAAAAGAAAAAAAAAGAGGCAAAATGAGAAGCTATATGCAGCAGAAAGTATAATGAATACAAAGAAGAAAAGAGCAGAGAAGAAAAGGAGGAAAAAAGCAGCTAAAAAAAGTGGATAAAATGGATGCTGATTATGACTTTAAAGTGGATTATAAGAAGGGTTCTGCCATGGATGCTGAAGACAGGAGTGGGAAGACGAACGAAATACAATTCAATTGTGGGTGAGGTGCCGGTGTCTGGTATTCAGTTTGATCACGGGTAATGGTTAGAGTTTTTTATTTATTTATTTATTATTATTATTATTATTTTCATTTTGAGGGGTTATCTCCATAGAAATACAAAAGATATTTAATATATAAAAATATCAAGGATAAACACATTCATTTGGGTTTATATAATACTCAAAAGCTAATGTGTATTTAAATTTGTAATTGTATTTTATTTGTTTCTAAACGTGTTTGAAAGGTTCAATATATCATTTTGATTAATTTTTTTGGACAAATAAAAAAATTAATCAAAATATCTATGATTGAATTACAAAAATAAAATAAAATAAAATTTTAAAAACTTCAAAAATAGAACATGTAGGTAATGTGACTTTAAAATGATGTTTGATAAAACCGAAAAATTAAGTGTGGAATCTGTTAATTATTGAATTTTAAGTTCGAATAATTAAGGATTGAATATGTTATCGACAAACTGTTTGGTATTTACTGAAAATTAAGTATTGAATATAATAAGATTGTTTTATAAATACTATTATTAAACATATTAAGATTATATACATGATAATTTTAACCTTATAATTATAACATGATTTTTTTAACATAAATAAAAATATATAAATAGAAGTGTATGTGAGTATAAATAGATATATAAATTGATAAGTTTGGAATGCTTCATTTGTTATTAAGGAATTAGGAAAGAACTTATTTGGACGAGATAAATTGAGAAATTGTTTGAGGTAAAAGAATGAGTTTACAACTTAATCATATTGGAAGAAAGTAAACCAGCATAAGCAATGATTGCTGCCTTTAGGTCGGAAATATGATTAATTTTTGCCTATGGACTACAAAGCCGAGATGCTGAGTCTATGTGGGGATGATTCTAGGTTTTTATAAAAATCAAATAATGCCTATGTCTGTGCTCTCTGTTAAATTTTGATATATAACCTTGTACTGATGTTAGTTTTGCTAATTGTATTTGTAGGTCAAGGACAGTCTAAGGAATGACCAAAGATACGAATCTGTAAAGCATGCGGATAGAGAGGTTTTCTTCAATGAATATCTGTCTGAATTAAAAGCTGCAGAGGAGGAAGCAGAGCGAGATGCAAGAGGCAAAAGAGAGGCTGGTGGCTGTACATATCTTGGAAACGGCTTTCTCTCGCATTCTTTACTATAGTCTCTGTAATTATTGGAATTGCCATTTGACTGCATTGTGCTTTTGGAACGTAGGAAAAGTTTCCAATCTATGAATCTGGGACATTATTTAAATGGTACCCCAACAAGACAATGAATCATCCAGTTTTTATTGATTTATTGACAGCAATTTTTAGGATATAACAAAATTTGATTTCTAAAGCAAGAAATTAAACATCATGTGCTTGCCTCTCTATGCGTGTGGTATGTGGATTACCACATTTATATCTCAGATCACTAAAAATATTCAAGGTATTTATTGTGTCAAAACACTGCAAAGTTGATTTTGAACTTCATCAAGGATACTACGTGGAAAATCATTTTCTGCTCAAGGGGTAGCAATTAAACCACTAGTTGCGGCTGGCCTGGAAAAACATTTTCTGTAACTAGTGATTAAAGGGTAAAAACAACTACAAAAATGATCTAATCAAGTAAATCGGAAGGAATAGGAAGTTCACTTTGCAATAAAAGTTGAATTGTGTTACTTTGACAAGAACAAGAGGAATCTTGCTTATTAAATAGAGTCAGAAAGTGACACGGAGAATACTAATCTTTGGAAAGGTTATCAGGCTAATACAAAAAATATGTAGGCAGGGAACATGTTGTACTTCGAGTGCAAAAGTCTCTTAATAGGAAGGAACCATAACAGATGCATTTGAAAAATTATATGAAGTAGACACCTGCAATCGTGAAAAATGAAGGTTTTTTTTTGGATGTTAATTGTCAGAAAAGATAGTTTCAATCCATTTGCATCTTAAAAGACAAAAGAAATGCTTATTGGATTTTCTTCTAGCTAGTAGCTTGTTGACGATGATAAGATGGAAGCACTAATAATAAAGAAGATCTCATATGTTTTGACAATGAAGATAATAGAGATCGTTTCTTAATCGGTTTATATAACTAGAGTTATAAGAATATATTATGGCTATATATTCATTTTTTAAAAAAAATTAAAAATCTTTCAATTAAGCGTGTTAATCAAAAAGTTTTAAGTTAAAAACTATACCTTACCTAATTAAGTATATTTTGATTGAATTTAAATTTAAAATATGAAACTATTTAGATTATCAAACAAATTTTTTATATTAAGTACTACAACTTAAATTTTTTAAGCTATTTAAATAGGTTATCAAATACCCTCTAAGTATTTTCTTTTTATTGCATTTTAGTAAAGGACATTTCAAGTATAAAAAAATTATGGTTGGAAAATTTGATCAAAAGGACATATTTAAACTTTCAAAATTTTTCGGGAATAGATAGAATGCAATTAGAAATTTAGGAATCAATTAGAGACTTTCAATATTATATAAAGACAGATCAATATATTTAATCAAATATAAATTTATTAATTGAATGGCAATAAGCTAAATACTCGTCTTCTAAACTAGTCTTATACCCTATTCGTTAAAAATTACTTTGCAATTATTTAGTTTATTACGATTAAGAATCACTTATCTATTTCTTTATAGAATCTATACCTATTATTACTCTACTTTTACCCAGTCTATAACCATTAACCTGATTTTTTTTCCTTCAAAAAGAAAAAGTAGTAGTAGTTTTTAGGGTTAATACCTTTATTTATCCTTATATAATAGGTCAATTTTTCAGTATATTCCTAGATTTTAAAATGCCTTCAATCTGTTCTTATTATTTGAGTTGGTTTTCAATCTGTTTTTCTAATAATTTTTCCGGTCAAACCATCAAAAAATGTCACATGACTCGCACATGATTTTTTTATATACAAAAATCCCCTTTTATAGTTTAATATGTTAAGTTTTCAATCCATCCTTATATAATTGATTGAGTTTTTGATCTATCCTTAATGCTAAAAAATCCATTGTATTATTAATTTGTTGTACTATAGTGATTTTTTTGTTAATTAAAAATATATAAAAATAATTAGTATAAGTTAGTGTGTAACTATTCAAGAAATTAAACAATAAATAATTACATTTAAGTAATTGTTAATTACTATCTTAAGCATGTAATTAACAAAATAATTATATTTAAGTAATTTTTTCTTAAGCATGTAATTAAAAAAATAATTATATTTAAGTAATTTTTTCTTAAGCATGCAATTAAAAACAAATGATTATATTTAAGCAATTGTTAATTAGTCTCTTAAGCATGTAATTAAAAAAAATAATTACATGTTTTATTTAATTACATAATTATTTTTTTTCGTATGCAATTCACGTGTTTTCTTTTATAAAGATGATTTAATATATTAATAAATATTAGATCAACTTGTTCAATATTATACATAAGTGAATTATTATAATATATTACTCTTTATTATTAAAAATATGTTAAATAATAATTTCTTGAACGGATACATAATAATTTGTACTAATTATTTTTATATATTTTAAATTAACATAAATTTGCAAAACATTATTAGAAAAATTAATAAAATTAATATAATTGACTCTTTAGCATAAAAGAAGAATTAGAAATTCAACTCATTATATAAGGACGGATTAAAAACTTAATATGTTAAACCGCAATGAGCATTTTTGTCAAAGTAAATGTCTTGTGTAGGTCATGTGATATTTTTGGATCATTTGATCGAAGATTGACCTAAATGACAAATTGAAAACTAGCTCAAATAATAAAAAAATATTAGAGGTGTTTTAAAATTTATGAACAGATTGAAAATTGACCTATTATGTAAGAATATGTGAAGATATTAATCCTAGTTTTTAAACTTACATAAAAGATAGAGAGTGGTGATTATATTTCCTTTTCTTTTCGTGTAATTATATTATGCCACATTTTTTGTTCGAACTCTTTTTTATTTTTATTCCAATTGTCTATAGGGTTTTTTTTTATGCATATGGTTTTTTTTAATACAAAAAATAAAAATAAACTTTCTTTCACTTACACGAGTGGTTAAATTCTCTCCTTTAAAAAAAAAAAAAAATTCTTTTATCAAAAGCAACCTTAAATTTCATAGCAAAGCATCCAATTTCTAAGGTAGAAATACCATTAGTTTCTCTTGCTTGTATCGCCATATAGTTATCTTACAATGTCAAATTGTTTTTTGTTGATTGGGAAATGAGAAATTAAATTGAGCACTATAAAACTTTCAGCTATACTTATTTTTTAAAGCTTAGAATTTCAATCTTTCTATTGAAAAGTTTGAAATTTTAGTGGAAAAACTAGTGTTTGCTTGTTGAAAATTAGTAAAGATTAATGGCTTTATATTGTATTTTGAAGTAGTTTTTTTTTTAATGATTTAAAGGTAGCGAATTGAGAGTTTCAAAATTGAAGGAAATTGAAAATTGCAAGGTACGTGTTGGTAGGTCTACTTGTTTTGTCCATACAAATATTAAAAATTTCAAATTCTAAGCAAGAGAAGCAAGTAGCAAGTTTGTGTTGCTCATCTTAATGCTAGTGGCTATCCCGGGATAAATTGTGGGTTTTAAGAGTGTTTTTATTTAATCTCAAATAGAAGTTTCATCCACAAATGTCACCTATTTGAAATCAAAAGGAATTTCTTTTGCTAGTTATGTTACGATGAAATTTATTTTGCAACTTCAAAAAATGATTTTTCTATAATGGCTAAACTTGAAAAGGAAAAAATAAAGAGGTGTGAGATGTCACATTAATAGATGAAATGAATAATATTTTAATACAACACCATTGATCTTGCTTAATTTCATGACAATGCCTACCAAAGCTTTTTTGTAATCCTATAACTTTTATAAAAAAAACCATAGATCTTTTAGATACCGGGAAGTTCATATTAAGAAATGTCAAAATTAGACACATAATTATCAATACGAAGAACCCAACAAGTTCCCATCCGAGTTGAAGTTTTGACACATTCCATTAAAATCAGTCCTAAAAACACAATATTGCCAAAAACATTTTAGTTCAAAGAAAGTACATTGAAAGGAATGACAATGTAATCGCTTCTTCTTTTCAAACTATAAAATCAAACTCTTTTTTTTTTTTTTTCGAAATGAAGTTATAGTTCTTTTTTATTTTCTCTCATAAAATATTTTCTCTCAAGCTTTATATTCTCCACAACAATTGCTTGATTGAAAATTAACTCATTAGAGACTATTTCTGTCAAAAATTAATCATTTTTCTCAGCATTTTTACTCGGTCAAGATGGCATCCGGATCTTCTAGCTTCTCCGACAGGTAGTCGATAACGTGAGAGTGATTTTAATTTACAATCTAGATTTCTTATCTCGTAGAAATCACATTTTACCGTGATCTTTGATGGAGAGGGTGAGATAGTGACCAAGTCATCTATAGTTCTTGATTTGGGGCTGATTGGTGATCCTTTTATTACCAATGTTAGGTATAACTTTTAAGTAGGAAAAGTCAAACATGAGTCCTATGGTCAATGATCCTTATAGACAGGGGTTACGAAATCCACCAAAAGGTGTTGTTTCCTCTAACTTTGCTAATGACATGGTTGTTGGTGACTTGTTGAATAATTAACAAACAAAATTAAAAGCATAGCACTTGTGACTATTCACTCACTATTCATTTAGACTTAGTTCTCCTATAAATGTAGACACATCTCTATTGCGTACCTTCTTTCGTTCTCTCTTGGCCATTTGTTCTTCCTTCATTTCTTTTTCTCCATTTGATTTGTTGTGGCTCTTTTGTTCTTCATTCTCTGCGTGTGGGAGAAAGAGGCATTCCGGGTTGTTTTTTTTTTGGGTCACTCCTACTTTTGTATCTTTTGTCCTCATGTTCTTTACTTATATTCCTTTCTACCATCATATTTTTTTATCCCCTTCTCTCTATTTTCGAAGGCCATTTAATGCTTCATGCTCATGTCATTTGTGGTTTCTTTTTTAATTTTCCTCTCATCATTTTCTTTCTTGGTCATCCCATTATTTCTCATCATGTGTGTCTTAATGATTTTATTTCCTTTTTTTTTTGTTTTCTATTGTTGTCTATTTTGTTTTATTTGTTTTGAATGTTTATTTGGTTTGTTTTATGTTTCGGTTGTCGTTCC